CAGTTCTACCTAATTAAAAAAAAATGCCTTCTATGGTTAAATTGTGCTTGTCGCTCTCAGTTTAAAGTTTAGCTATTTCTAGCTCCTAATTGGCATGCCACAAATGAACCATAACATTGAACTTGGGGTTCTCTGACCCTGACATTCCCATTTAATTTGAAATATACCTTCTCTGGAGCCAGAGATGTTCACCACAGACTCTGAATCTGTCTTTTTGCTTCTACAAGAGGAAAGGCAGAGCAGGCGAGATGGTTCTAAGGGCGAGGCTCTGATTGAGGGACAATCCGTGTTCCAAGGATACGTCCAGACCATTGTCCGTGGACAAGAAAGAGACCTGAAATCAGCTGATCTCCCCTGCCTCCAACAAAGGAGCCCTATACAATATTCTGACATATGGTCATCCATGTATTCTTTTTTATTGTGCTAAATTATACATAACACAATTTATCATTAATACATAAAATAACCATTTTAAATGTACAGTTCAGGGACAGTCAGTACATCCACAGTGGTGTACAACCACCACCACTATCCATTTCCAGAAGTTTTTCTTTGCCCCAAACAGAAACTCTGTACTCAGTACGTAATTCGCCATCCCCTCCTCCCCTCTGCTAGGCCCAGTAACCACGATTCTACTTTCTCTACAAATTTACCTATTCTAGGCTCTTTATATAAGTGAAATCATACAATATTTGTCTTTTTGTGTTGGCTTTATTTCACTGAGCACACCATTTTCAAGGTTTAATTCATGTTATAGCATGTGTCAGAAATGTATGACGGTAAAATTCCACAGTAGGTATATACCACATTCTGTTTATCTGTGATGGACACTGGGTTGTTCCCACCTTTGGCTGTTGTGAATAATGCTTCTATGAACATGGGTGTATATGTATCTATTCATGTCCCTGATTTCAGTTCTTTAGGGTATATATTTAGGACTAGAAATGCTGAGTCATAGGGTCAGTCTATATTTTTAGCCTTTCGAGAAACCACCAAACTGTTTTCTACAGCAGTTGTACCATTTTACATCACCACCTGCAATCCACGGAGGTTCCAGTTCCTCCACATTCTCACCAACGCTTATTTTTCACTTTTGTTTTGTTTTTATAATAGCCACCCTGCTGGGTGTGAAGTGGTATCTCATTGACATCAAGGCATTCTTTTTTTTTTTTTTATCCTCACCCGAGGACATTTTTCCATTTTTTTTGTTCAGGTAGAGTGGGAGGGAGAGAGAGGAACAGAGAGAGAGAGAGAGAAACATCAATGTGAAAGGAACACATCGAGTGGCTGCCACCCGCCCAACCGACCAGGGCCGGGGACAAACTGCAACCGAGGTACATGCCCCCAGCGGGAACCGAACCTGGGTCTCTCAGGACCGCAGGCCGATGCTCTAACCGCTGAGCCAAACCGGCCAGGGCGACATCAAGGCATTCTTAAACCTTCCCGAGCTGGAGCTCAGAACACCACCAGGAAGCTAAGGTAGATCATTCCCAGTCTGAGAAAGTTCTCAGTAGCCTTTCTAAATCTCGCCTTCCTCTAGCACGGATCGTCAACCTTGGTTGCACATCAGAATCATTTAGGAACTTGAAAAATATTCCAATCTTGAGGTTGCTACCGAAGCTAATTAAAACAGCACCTTTGAGGGTGGGACCCTAACGCCAGTATTTCTAAGGCTCCTCGGGTCATTTCAATATGCAGCCAGAGTTGAGAACCAACTCAGCTCAAAGCCTGCTCACTCAGCTCACTTCCTTACCCAACCTGCAGGATATAACATGTGACAAACTATCACCGAGCCTCCTCTGAGGACCCCTATTAAATAGCCAGCACCCCATCCCCCACTGGCAGTCCTGTTTCGCTCTCTCTGCTGTAGTGAGCATTGCCAGCCGACACTCGACATACATTCCTTTTATCTATTCACTGCCTGCGCTCTGTTTTGCTTATTTCTGCTTTCCTAGGACATACAACAATGCCTAGTGCAGAGAAGGTGCTGAGAGCATTGTTGAATGAGTGCATGTACAAATCTCTCATTTCAAATCACAGCCCTTCAGGTGGTTAAAAATAGCTTTTGTGTCTTGTGCTGGGTCTTCTCTAGGGAAAATCTTCTCTGTACCTTCAATCAGTTTTCAAAGACATTGAAGGATGAACCTCATCATTATTAATACAATACATCTTTCTTTTACTCAATAAGCAAATAATGGAGCACTTCCTATGTACTACACATACTCATACACTACGCACGCTCTAGGGTAGACAGAAATTGTGCTGGAAAAAACACGTGAAGTCAGTCTGTGGGGGTGGGGCCCAGACAAGCATCAGAAACAGAAGTCAGTTCAGATAACAATAATTACTTTAAGGAAAATGAAAAATGTTGGCTGTGGCACATTAAGTGGGGGTCAACTTTAATCTGAGACCCAAAAGACAGGAAGAAGCATTCCAGGAAAAAGGCACAGCTAGTACGGAGGCCTGGAGGGGGCAGCAAGTCTCAGAGGGGCCCTGAGTCAGAGCTTCTGAGGACAAGGAAAAAAAACACTATCACCTCCTTTGTTAGGCACTTGACCTCAGTGAACATGGCCTAAGGTCAGATTAGTTTTGGGTAACCACATCATCCTATTAAGGTCTTTTTCATCATTGAATTATATCTTCCCTGCCTAGTATTTGTACTGTTGATAGTCGGAATTTAGTTGTGGAAGAGTGATTTAGATGAACATACCTGGAATTTCATTTTGTCTTGATACCATTGTGATGAACCCAGTTATAAAGTACAGGAAGGGAACACAGGGAAGGCCAACTCTCATTGCCATTTGTGCAGCTTTGCCAGAAAGCTGCAGTTTAGCACTCCCCAGGGACTGGGCGGGGGGAGAATAGACGCGTGCCCAGTAAAGTCTGGGTGACATAGGGAAGGTACTTGCCTGTCAGTCATACCTGGGAACAGATCATTGGCCAGAGTGGGCGTGGTCACTGCAAGTGTGAAGATTTGAGATACTTAAGATCCTAAACAAAGAAGTTTGCTCTCTCACTCTCTTGGTTCATGCTCGTGGCCTCTTGTGCTCCTGGCTGCAGGACTCACGGTCTGTATTTGCCCACATGGCACATGGCCATGTGGACCCCACACACAATGGACTAAAGAACTACAACTAGCCTGATGCTACACTGGACCCAACTCTACCATGGAACAGAGAAACTCTGGACACTGGCTTTGCTTTTAGCTCTGTTGAATCCCCAGCTGCACATCTTCCAGGACTGGATTAAGGGACTGGAACTTTGAAATCCCAAGGATATAATTCCACATAAATAAAGCTTTCTTTTGCCCTGGCCAGTTTGGCTCAGCGGTTAGAGCATCAGCCTATGGTCCAGAGAGACCCAGGTTCGGTTCCCACTAAGGGCATGTACTTCGGTTGTAGTTTGTCCCCAGCCCTGGTTGGGTAATGTGGGTGGTAGCCAGTCGATGTGTCCCTTTCACATTGATGTTTCTCTCTCTCTCTCTTCCTCTCTCTCCCTCCCGCTCTTTCTGAATAAAAAATGGAAAAATATCCTTGGTGAGGATAAAAAATAAATAAATAAAGCTTTCTATCACATCTCATCTTTCCATGGGGGCCTCAGGAAATCTTATTCCAGCAGCACCCCAAGAACCCCTCCCACTAACAACAGAGAAAGACCATCCACGCATTTCTCCAATAACAATCTGAACCCTGCCATACAGACGTTAATCAATCAATCAATCAATCAGTTAACAAAAGCACTTGTCAGCAGAGTGGATGCTCTGGTTCTTCAACCACTGTAATAGTGGTTCCTTCTCTAATCAGCATCTTGTCTTTTGTGCCAGGACTAAGGGGAAAAGTTTTGGACAAGGCCAGAGCCAGGACTGGTGGGCCGCTGCCACTTGGGTTCAGCGCCATCTTGGCTTTCAGTCGAAGGCGCTCAGTGAAGACTGATACTTCTTCATTCTTGAGACCCTGTGCTCCCAGGATGGGCTCCCAGAGCAAGCAGCCCCTTCCAGACCAGCCACCAAAATGCTCTCACTGCTTAGTTCCCTTCACTGGGCCTGTTTCTTGTATTCAAATGTGGGGTTTGAGTCTGAGCATTTTAAGATCTTTTGAAGCTTCATTTAAAAAGAACATTTTATTACTCTAATAGGAATAAAACTATTTTTCTGTATCTGCCTAATAGACATCATGCTTTTATTGATGGGGACACTCACTTTGAACTTAATAAAGTGATTTATACTGGGACAGCAGGGTTTATAGACTCAAAGCAGATGCCAAAATGGACAGGAACGCAAATTTGAACTGTGGCATTGGGGAACAAAAGGGATGTGGCTTAGGGTGGTGAAATGTGTTCCTACATTTCTTGATCAGCTGCTATCTTTCTAATGGACTTCACAGAATCTCAGACCAATTTTTTCAGGTCAGCTGTATAAAAACAATCTTCAAGCCATGACCTGTTCCCAAGACAGCCGACCCGTACCCAGCAGCTTACATGGGGGCTGGGCTGGGGTCCTGAAAACCACGGCCTCTATATTCAAACAGACCCTGGCTGAAGTGACCATCATTCATCCATCCAACACCATTGTTCCTCATCCAAGAAATGTGAATGACACATTGGAGTTGAATCCATCAATGGATAAACTGTATGAGATCCCTGCCTCATGGGACTTGCTAGGTGGGGAGGTGCACAGAGTAGGAACCAACCAAATACGTTTCTGAGCACAGGTGGAGGAAGGAAAGCCACAAGCTCTCTGATGGAGAATAACTGCAACCTCAGGGTAGTTCGTTCATGTCTCTGAGCCTCGTCCTTCCTGTTATATAAGGTTTACCCAAGGCATCACGTAGTGACAGGTGCAGACAGAGGCATGTATTAGGTGCACAATAAATGTGTGAGGCAGCTGCTGATGGTGAAGTTACCTTCCTGAAGGTGACTGAGGAAAAGGTGAATTTTCTTGCCTGTGTCTCAGGGTTTCCTTCAGTCCTTTGTGAGTGTGTGTGTGTCTGTCTGTCTTCCAGTTCCAAGGAGGGTTTCAGGTCAGTGGAGAAGGTTGTGCTGCTCACGTTTCTCTCGGCGGTTATCCTGATGGCCATCTTGGGGAACCTTCTGGTGATGGTGGCCGTGTGCAGGGACCGGCAGCTCAGGTGAGTCGCATGAGGAAACCTGGGTGGTGTTCTGGGCTCTCCCTGGAGAACTGAGGTCTGCACTTCTAATTTCCACTATAGTTTGTCATTATGGAAGCGGGGAAAGTACCTGGGATTGACGTTTGGAAATAGAGCAAGGAAAAAAGACCATGCATCATCCCACAGCTCTGACAGGACCAGTGTAAATTAAGTGCATTTCTATCCTGTTTTTTTTTTTCCTTTGTTTAACTTTGTTGGGTTTTTTTAGTAGTTGTGATCACTATATGTACATAGGTTGAGAGCACATCTTATCTATCGGTTCGGAGAGGGGTGGCTGACTAGGGAGCAATGTAGGATTTAAACCTGGCTCTTCTCTTTCCACTTCATCAGTCTGAACGCTGGCGCAATTAAGATCACCTGAAGACCTTCTTAAACTTGCTGCTGCGTAGCATAAGTATGTCCCATGCGCTATTTGGGACACACTTATACTAAACAATTATTCACTGTTAATCTGAAACTCAGATTGAACTGGGTGTCCTGTATTTCATCGGGCAACCCTGGGGGTGGATGGGGGTGTAATCACCCCAAATCCCTGAACTGAATGGTCTGGGGTGAGACTTCGGCATCACTATGTAGGAAATTCACTGGGTGATTCTGGCGGGCAGCCTGCATTGAGAGCCACCAGACCTTGAAAGGGATAAGAGATGTAGTACTTCCTTATCGACTGCTTTCCTCTCTAAGCAAGACATGCATTAATCCAGTGACGATGCAACAAAGTATAGAAGCGTATTTCAGATAGGTGTCACATGCTAGTCAGTCTGAGAGTGGAAAGTAGAGGCATTTGACACCATCTGTGAGGGGGCACCTTGGGAGTTTCCCCGAGAAGACCAAACCAAGGCCTGCAAGACTGGTGGGGTGTGGTTAAGCCAATAGTAGGGAGAGAGCGCTTTGTAAAAGGGCCCGGGGAGGAGCTCTCTACACAGGGGACTCTTATCAGGCCATGTGGCCAGGGGGGAAGAGGGGGAGGGCTCTGGGTGCAAGAGGAATATGGAGAATCCAGACGTGGCCAGACCACGCAGGGTCTTTCCAGCCATGCTGCAGAAGGGGAAACCGAACTTCACGGGATATGGGACACATTTGACTTTTTTTCTTTTTCCTCCCTCCCTTCTTTCCTTCTTTCTTTCCTTTGCTTTCCTCCTCTTTTCGCTCTTGATTCTTTCTCCCTAACCTTCTTCCTTCGCCCCTCCCCTGCCTCGTCCTTATACTTTTTCACTCACAGGAAAATAAAAACCAACTATTTCATTGTTTCTCTTGCCTTCGCGGATCTGCTGGTCTCTGTGCTGGTGATGCCCTTTGGTGCCATTGAGCTGGTCCAGGACGTCTGGATTTACGGGGAGATGTTTTGCCTCGTCCGGACATCGCTAGACGTCCTGCTCACCACGGCATCCATTTTTCACCTGTGCTGCATTTCTCTGGACAGGTGAGGACAGAGCACCGTGCACAGCGGGGATCTGGGCTGGGGACAAGCACCTGACTATTGGGATGTGTCCTTCTTTCTTTCCTAATTCATGAGAAATGAATCTTAGAGACGCAAATCTGGTTGTTTGCTTACTCATTCACTTTCAAGTCTTTGCAGAGGGTACTCTCTGAGGCCTTGTGAACACAGAGATTGGGAAGGCCTAGAACTTGCCTGCAAGGAGCTTACAGTGGAGGTAGAGTCAGGTACCAGCCATCAGGTTTACCATAGAGCTCCTACCTATCTCCAGATGACATGAACAAAGTTTCGAGGGGGCTGAGTGATGCAAGAATGAATACATCTGCCCAGGAGGCTGCAGGGGCGGTTCAGAATGGTAGTGTTCTCTCGTTGAACATGAACTCCGGAAACTGTGTCTGTATCATAACTTCAGGTGTATATTTAGGTTTGTGCCTGTGACTGCAGAGACTGTTTTCCAGAAAGTTAAAGATGATAATGAAATCCCCAATCATTGTTTGGTTTTTGGACCCAGGGTTAGCATTTTATTCTGTTGCATAATTTTGTTCTTTTTCTTCACATTTGACTTCAGGGGCCCTGATGGTTTCCATCTTTGCCTCATTTGTGGAGATGCAGGTCTATTAGTTGTATCAGTGCTTTTTCTTTTCTAATTCCTGCTCTTGTGTATATAACAGTGAAGGAATAATGCAGTTTCAAAGTCAGAGGGTTACATGACCATGTTCAGCCATCACTGTAGCCATATCTTAGGGGTTAGTTCTCAAAAGAAAGTGTGGTGTTCAAATCACGTTATCAGAATTACCAGGGACCGTCTCTTGAGTAGTTCAACAGACCAGGACCCCCCCCCCCCCCCCGCCCAGAATTGGGCTAGGTAACTGTTTCTTTCTTTGAGGAATAGAAAAATAGTTGACTAAAATTAGGAATTATGGTATATCTAAAACATGTACCTTTAAACAGTAAAATCAGAGTCTTCCCAGAGAACAACTCACACTGGGAAAAGTCCTTCAAGACTGAATCCAGCTGGGGGAACAGCAGATTTATAGCCTCTCTCATGGGACAGGTGCTCGTTGATTGAAGTGGCAGATGTAATGCCCTATGTTCCATAAAATTCTCTCTCTCTTTCTTTGCCAAGAACTTATTATAGTAGAATATGTTTGAATTAAATGCATATATTTAGGTTCCACTCTATAACTAGTGATGATGACACTGATAAAACTGAACTGTTGGCTGGCTGCCAGACCCATAGTGTGTCTTAGTTTGACATTGGTCTTTATTAGCATGTTTATAACACTCTGACTTCAGGAAAGACTGTCTAAGAGAGTCAGTGTATATTGGATAAAAGTTCACATTAGAGCCCTGGCCGGTTTGGCTCAAGCAGTTAGAGCATCGGCCTGCAGTCCAGAGAGACCTGGGTTCGGTTCCCGCTAGGGGCATGTACTTCTGTGGAAGTTTGTCCCCAGCCCTGGTTGGGTTGTACGGGTGGCAACCAATGGATGTGTCCCTTTCACGTCGATGTTTCTCTCTCTCTCTCTCTCTCTCTCTCTCTCTCTCCCCCCCCCCTCCCTCCCCCCCACTCTATCTGATAAAAAAAAAAAAAGTTCACATTAGAAAAAATAAAATGTAAGGAAGTAGAAACTATATAGAAATCCTACAGGGTAGCCCGCACGTGATCATTGCTCAAATGAGCAGTGAGACCGAAAGTTCGTAGGAACTTGGAGAAGGCAGAGCTGAGGGATCAGGGCAGCTGGAGGTAACCCTGAGGTCTGGGCAAAAGCAAGGGGAAGGCAATGAGCCAGGTAGGGAGCAAAGAACAGAGGGAAGTACAGAATCTCTTCCCGATGTGGACTTGACTCTGGGCAGCTCTGAAGACTGAAGTTTTCCTAGGTAGATTTGGCTTCCGACTTCCAGATGAACTCTCAAGTTCTTTTGAAATCATGACACTTTCCGAGTTGTCACAAAGCAGAATGGGCTGATCATTAAGAAGCATCTGCTATAGAACTCAGGAGATCTGGGTTCAGATTCCAGATCTGCCCATTTTTAGCCATGAGATTGGTGACACGTTTATTAAGCCTTTCTGAGTCTGTTTCTCATCTCTAAATACGGGGACAAGGACATCTATTTTATAGGGTTGCAGTGAGGATTAAGTTAGATAATTCATTGAAGACCCAGCTGGCACAGCACTTGATGATGGTGGATGTTAATTTCAGTTTCTTGTAATTATCCATGAAACTCATGCTCTTTCTTACCAAACTTGGACCTTCTCAGTGAACAGCTCCAGCAGCTGCATTGTTCAGAAACAGGGCAATTGTTCTTAATGTGGGTTTTCCTTATCCCCTACATTTAAGTAAGTCCTATTGACTTTCCTTCCTGAACAGATCCCAGTCTGTGTCTTCCCATCTCTTTCACCCAGTCCACACTAATATCATCTCTTGCAGAAACCATTGCAGCAACCTCCTGATTATTCTTCTACATCTGTTTCATGCCCCTCCAATACACTCACCACTTACAAGATCTCATAGCCTTCTTTCATTTATTTTTTATCCTCACCCGAGGAGACTTTTCCATTTTTTGTTCAGATAGAGTGGGAGGGAGAGAGAAGAAGAGAGAGAGAGAGAAACATCGATGTGATCACAGCCCTCTTTTAAAAATGCAGCTCTGATCCTGCTGCTCCTTTGCTTAAAACCCTCCAATGGCTATTCATTGCATTGGGATCAAGACCCATCTGCTTGGCCTGTACTGTTTTGAGCTGTTCCCTGTGTCCCAGCCTCACTTCATGCTTGTTGCCAACCTTATTTTCTGAGCTGCCTCTCTCTTGGCCTTCTTTTTCTCTTTCCAGTGCTCTGTGCTCAGCCATCTCAGAACCTTGGCTCTGTCCCCTGCCTGAAAAGTTCCTTTACCCCTTCATCTCTTGCATGACTTTTAGATTTTAGCTCAATCCTCTCTTGCTTGCAGAAGCCCTCTCTGACCCCATCAAACCCATTCTCCTTTGAGAACTTAGTATAATTATGATTAAAACCACAATTAATCTTTTAATATGTTTTTATTGATTTTTTTTTAAAGAGAGAGGAAAGGAGAGAGAGATAAAAACATCGATGTGTTCCCCAACTACCACTCTCCATCCACTGTGCTCCCAGCTGCTTTGAGAAATGAATCCTATTAATGAAAGCTTATTACTTCACTAAAATAATTTTCAAAGCATAATCAAAATCCACGCATCCTATAGTATGAGTCATGAGAGGTCAGAACATTGATTGGCTGCCTCCTTCATGCCCCCACACTGGGGATCAAGCCCACAACCTGTGCATGTGCCCTGAATGGGAATCAAACCAGGACTTCTTAGTCCATGGGATTAAGCTCAGTCTACTGAGCCACACTGGCCGGGCACAATTGATTTTTTAAAATATTTTTCTTGCCCTGGCCGGTTTGGCTCAGCGGATAGAGCGTCCACCTGCGGTCCGGAGAGACCCGGATTCGGTTCCCGCTAAGGGCATGTACCTCAGTTGCAGTTTGTCCCCGGCCCTGGTTGGTCGTGCGGGTGGCAGCCACTCAATGTGTCCCTTTCACATCGATGTTTCCCTCTCTCTCTCCCTCTCTCCTTCCCACTCTGTCTGTACAAAAAATGGAAAAATGTCCTCGGATGAGGATAAAAAATATATATATATTTTTTTTTCTTAAATGTTCTTTTCTCCCCCAGTGGGAGAAACCACAAGCATATGAATGAGGACAAGGTCCCCTGCCCTCATGGAACTTGCCTTTAATGAAGGAGATTGACAATTCACCAGTCATCACCTAAATACTGACTTAGGTATTTGGTAAACACTATTTAACAACTGAAGTGTTCAGCACATTCTCTTTTTGAACAATGCTGCCAATAATTTCATTTCCTTCTCTGAGAGTGGACGTCAAGAACTCCAATACCATAAGTAAAATGCAATCAAATGGTTTTATTTTCCTCTGGGAACCTGGGAAACTTGCCAGTTGACTCCCTGTCCCAAGAGGGATATTTTCACTGGGCTGGAAGGTTCACTCTGGACATTACAGGACAACAGTTTAGCCCGGAATAGTATGATTTTGTTTATCATCTAGCTTCTGTTTTGGCTGTGTCCCTCCTGTGACAGTTGGGCTGGGCCGGGTTGGGGCAAAGCACAGAGTGAGTGTCTCAGTGAGGTGCAGTGTCATCGCTCGTCATGTGACTCCTGGCAGGATGTCTTGTCCTTCTCTCTAGAGCTACCGGGGATTGCAGGGATGACTCATAAAGGGTAGTGACTCTCGAGCAAGAATGCTCACTGTGATTTCTGATTCCACCCAGATGGCAGACCCCTAGATCAGAGCAAAACATTATGAAATACATTTCCCCAACTACCACTCTCCATCCACTGTGCTCCCAGCTGCTTTGAGAAATGAATCCTATTAATGAAAGCTTATTACTTCACTAAAATAATTTTCAAAGCATAATCAAAATCCACGCATCCCATAGTATGAGTCATGAGAGGTCAGAACTGCATTAAAACATCAAGTACCATTGATTATTTTAAAGCTAAGGTCCTGTGGTGAATAAAAACCCACCAAGGATCTATAACAGTGGAATACTATAACACAGCCATTAAAAATCCTGAGGAATAGCTATTCATATTGCCTTAGAAAGATATCCATGGTGTGCTATTGAGCGGGGAAGGGAAGCAAGTTTCAGACTTTAATATTCAGAATAATTCCACTTTTGTAAAATAAACATAGATGTTTGTATCTGGGTATACTTGAGTAGGGGGGAGGTGCATCAAACCATTAATGATGGTCATATGGGGGGCACTGGGGTGGAGCTGGCTAGACTGGATGGTGAACTGGATTGGGGTTGGAAACCTTCACTTTTCCTGATTTCAGAAATACATGTTTTAAGCTTAATTTTCTCTTTGCTAGAAGTTAACACCTGACGAATGCAAGAGTATCCACAGCAAACTTTAGCTGAAAACGCTGCGGGGCCAGCACATTCCTCA